TACATATAATTGTTAAAATTAAGAATACATAAACATACATGGTAAATGAGTCAGTTTCTCTTTTTTTAGATACTGACTAACTTTAACGTGTGTTATTTAATTTATCTAACTTTAGTGTTAGTTTATATATTTAACATATTATACATAAAATACATAATTTGCTTTGATATAAATAATAATAAATATACAATTTTGATATAAATAGTAATAAACATATAAGACCAATTATAAAGATTATGCTTTTCGCGGGTTTCTTCCGTATCCAGATCCATTCTTGGAATGTCAACGTTTCATGAACTTCATCAGGGCGAGGAGCAGCCTGATACTGAAACGTTGGCATTCCAAGAATAGATCTGGACATGGAAGAAATCCGCGAAACGCATAATCTTTATATAGAAAAGAATCGTGGAAGTCTCAAGAATATTATATAAGACCAATTTTTCATATCAAAGAAACATATCTAAATCATAATTTCGCCTTTCAAAGTCTAAAGCATAAATTAGACGCACAATGAAACGTTTGCAATTCGAATCAAACTAGCATTTAACGCGACATACGTATGCCAATCATGGTCTCTTCTAGTAAATACGTGACGTTCACATGAACGTCTCAGCTATTTTCTCTATTTTATCGTGCTATTTTATCGTGTTGTTTTCACAAAAGTCATGCACCATGTTTCTCCATTACTTTTAGTATCTTCATCACATCAATAAATACTCACGTCTCGTAGATTTTAATTTTTAAAGGAAAAATCATCAATTGATATTAAAAAAAAATGTTAATCATTATATAAATTATATATCCTTTGCAAAAGATATTTATTTTATTAATAAATTATTAAATAAATGATTTCACTATTAATTGGCTACGCAATTGTTGTGTAAATTAGAACATTTTTTAAATAAATGTAAACAAATGAATTTAATTAAGGGTTAAATATGATAAAAATTTAATTGAAACTTTGATCTCGTAAAGGATGAAAAATTGAGATATAAATAAAAATTTATGTAATAAAATTATATAAATATAATTTGTGCGCGCGCGCGCACGCGCGCGCGTGTGTGTGTGTGTATGTGTGCGTGCGTGCGTGCGTGCGTGCGTGTGCGCGTGTACACATATATGTATATATACACATAAATAATCAGAAAAATGATTTAAAAATTAAATTTAAAACTGATTGGAAATTAATTATATAAATTATGTAAACAATTTATAAATTATGTTAACAATTATGCAACAATTTGTATGTAATAAAAGAATAATTTGAAAGTTAAACTGAAATCTGTCTGGAAAAAAATTAAAACTGATACATTTAATAATTTTAATACAAATTTAATTTTTAAAATGTCCTAAATTCCAAGATAAAATTTCATTAATTTAATTTAAGCCAAATTAAGTCTTCGCCGATTAATGATGCAACGACAAAGGTTATTATAGCTTCAGCCTAAAGTGGAACGAGTGGATCACCAGTCGGACATGGTCAATCGTCGATCGATCCTTTAAAGGGATCGAGAAGAAATCGTACAATGTTCACTGAGAAACAGAAACGAAAAGATAAAGATAAAGAGTAGAGGGGAAAAATCCTGACATGACCGTATAGGGATAACGATCTCTCTAACGGTCACCGATAAATCACTGGAGGATCTAACGGGTGATTTATGCTTCCGAAACAACCGGTCTTCGCTTTCATGGAACGGTCGGCAATCATAAAAGAACAAATCCAGTGAATTCTCAGATATGGTAGAACGGAGGGGGTTTTTTTATTACCGCCAGGTGGAAGGCGATATCGAAAATCGCACGGTAAAGGACTCTTTTTGTTCGCCATCAAATGTAGCGAAGCGTGCGAAAAGGAAGTCAAAAGGGGCGGTATGGAAGAATAGCAAAAACTCATATAATAGAAAAACCGATGGAACGAGAACGGTTGGAAACTTTCGAGGTTTCGTTATCTATTTATAGCACATTCATGTTGCACGTTTCTGTTGTAGCAACCGTTTGATTGTTGACAGATGATTGAAATAATTGATATTGGGGCTGCGTTCCGATGTTCATTGCCAATATTGAAAATCTTTAGTGTACGTAATATATACTATAAATTTTCAGCACTAGTAGTGAAATACAATCTAAGAGTTGTTGTTATATGAAAAAATTTAAATATTCTATGAATTTTGAAGCGCTCACAATCGAGTATAAAATCCTTATCATAAAATACTTATATACGTGGAAGTTTTGACATTCTGTTAATCATCTTGAATGTCTACATAATTATTTTGTGATGGTCAAATAAAATTATTTTTAAATTTTTACCTCAGCAAAAAATCATTCTTTTCATAATCTTAAAAAGAAACTATAATTACATTATTAAACAGACATAATTAGAATTTAAAAAATCATACAAATTTAATTCAAAAATAGATAAAATTATATTTTTAAATATAAATTATACTATTATATGCACAATATTAAATAAATAAATAGCAAATATAAAACAACAATATAAAAATATGCAATTAATAACTAATGAACTGACATTACGCGAATTGAGTGAATGAATTGATAGATCTCATAATATCTCTAAATTTAAATATTTAGATATTTTCCAATATAAAGATTAAAAGATTTTTTCATCTTATGAAATTTTTCAGAAAATTTGTTTAATCATTTGCATTTTTTTATTAGTAAAATTTCCATAATATTTAATGTGCAGACAACTGCTAGCACAAATAAAAAATAATTGTTTAATGTATTATGCGCAATTTGCGCCAACAACAATAGGAACTTGCGTTTTCCATTTGATTAAATCTCGCAGTATAAATAAACACATTTACAAAAATACAATATAATCTCTGCAATCGCATAATCATGACCAATAAATGGCAGGAAAAATAAATACAAACGCGATAAGAAATAATAATTTGATTCATACACAGAATTCCAGCGTACAGTCACACGCCTTTATATTAACGTGCGAATATAAACTGTACTTTTACAAGTCAAATTGCTAGTCTGGCGGAATTTATTAATTCAGTTAATGTCCCCCCCCCCCCCCGGATGAAATACATAAATAGCAGTCGCTATTCAGAAAGTCGCACGAAACTTTAGAAAATATAATGAATGACGATATATTAATACTCTCGAAAATTTTAACTTATAAATTATATAATTATAATTTTAGCTTATAATTTTAGCTTAAAAAATAGTCTTGAAAACGAAAAATTTATTTTCAAAAAAATCCGGTTTCTTCGGACTTCATAACGGTACAATTTAGCAAATCGGCCTTATAAATGACAAATAATTTTATGACACAGTTGGGCGGACGCGAAGGAAGAACAATCTCGGACTGTGACATCATCTATAAGATCATCTTGGCTCACGACTTTAGTAATGACGCTTATATAATTATGTAATCCGCGTAATTATATAATGGAATTTTTGGAGGGCAACTCGATTGTCCCTGACGACGGTTTGCTTAAGCATTTATCAGGGAAATAAATTGTGTGATGAACGAAATATAATGATGAATCACGAAAAAAGTCACAGCTCAGAAATAAACTTAAATAAGACATTAAAAACAAATCCAGTTCGTTATTCTTTGTTCCTGAAGAAGCTATTTATTTTTTTTTTAATTGTAATAGATAATATTAATAGTACAAAAAAATTGTAATTGTAAATTATAGAATACATATACAGATGTTTAAATATATGAGCTTTTCATTTCAATTGGAAAAGAAACGCGGCTGTTTTTAATTAAAAGGTCACCTACGCGCTACGTAGGTGACGATCAGCGAGCTTTGGCGCGATTAGGTAATTCGAACCGATCGTTCGAGGTGAGGATGTGACGATCTACATACGTAATGCAGCCTGTCGAAGCTTTTGTCGCACTCGTAAACCATTGCGTCCTCGATCTACATCCACTCGCCGTCAATCAAGAGAACCGCTAAACGTCGCTAAAGAAGAGTGTTAATGTTCAAAAAGGAAGTCCATTCTAAATTTCAAACTCTTAAAATGCTTCCGTTTATTCATATACGTAATAACGATTGCGAATTAAATATCTTTCATTTCTTGGAAACGTGCCAAATCTCAATTAAAAAAAAATCGGTGCTTATAACGATATAAGAACTATGTTACGTCAATTGTATAACCCTGAAATGATACTTACCATTTTTTTATATTGTTCTTTGGATATATTGTAGAGCATAAAAAATTACCAGATCCATATTCTTTTATCTGCTTATCTCAAGGAAAAATCTTCTAAAAAATAACAATTTTTTTCATTTTCAGTATCTCCGAAAGTATGAGATATATAAAACAAAGTTTTAAAAACTTTTAACGAGATATTGATATTTTGCGAAAATGTCAAATTTTTTAAATTTACCTTCACTTCCAGGAATTATTCCGATTCCTAAACCTTGAGATAAACAGAAAAGAATCTAACATCTTTTGATGTTCTACAATTTACAATATATCTAAAGTTCATCAAAATTGGTAAGTGGACAATTCTGACAGGTCTCTTATAAGACTATATTAAATTTGTTTATTGTTTCAAGATAAACATTTTTATTCGAATAATATGTATCTTTTTTATAATTTTGTTCTTAAATTTATTTTTTACTTACATATCTCAGATGGTGAATCTGAAGAACGCCTTGGGTGCTGATGAGCTTACCGATAAGAAGGTCGGTCTTCCTCGTGCTCTTCTGGCAGAATTTTTAGGCACCTTATTACTGAACTTCTTCGGCTGCGGTGCCGTGTTGACCGGAGATGTTACCGCCATCAGCTTGGCCTTTGGTTTGACGGTAGCGTGCGCAATTCAAGGGATAGGACACGTCTCTGGAGGTCATGTCAATCCGGCGGTCACACTCGGTCTTGTCGTCATTGGGAAGGTAATGTTTTATACTAATATTCAATAAAAATTTTAATATTTTTATTGAATATTTTAGGTATATTAAATACGATAAAGAAGAACAATAATACATAATGTATTATTTGAAACATCCAACTTTGATCATTCTTAATTTTCTTTATCGTATTTGATGATTCACATCTGCAGTGCTTAAAATTCTTAAATTAATGTATAGTATTGAATTATTTTTATTGAATATTAATTTTATTAAGTTTTAATATTATAAATTTTTTTAATAATACTTGTTCTATCTAAACTCTCTTTGTTCTTGAGTAGTCACCACACAGTGACTTAAGTAGCTAGTTAAAGCGCGTCAATTTGATACATTGTATGCGTATCATATGTACTGAGAATTATCTATTATTCCGCAAATGAAATCTATCCTAGAAGACTCTCAAGAATTTGATATCTCGCAATGAAAATCGATCATCTTCTATAAAAATCTATTCGGATATTCAAAACAAA